GCATTTTTTTTCCCTAAAACTATAGGAATATTTTTTATTGCCCAAAAATATTCAGATTTCACTATTACAAAATATGGGAAATCATTTGCATAAAAAAACATAGAAACTTAAAAAAAAATCCTGTTTGCTGAGGGGTATTGGAGCTGTGTAAATAGAAAATATTTCAAATAAATTACAAATTTCAGATTAGTCTAATAAGCAAGATGCTTGTTGGCTAATACAGCCTTGCTCTTTGCTCAATGTGAAGATATTGAAATTTATAATATAACAGAAAACTAAAAAGAATAAATTTTATTGTATATCTGGGCCTTAATCCCTGATCACCTATGTTACAAGTTCAATTTCAAATTGATAAGTGTTAATTAAGATACCAAGTAATCATCTAAATTATGCAAATTAGGTAATTATAAATATGCATGGTTTCTATTCTAAAGTAACCAGGACTGTGGATTATCCAATAGCCTTTATGTAGCAAGTTTAATTTTAATTAAATGAGTGGTACTATGAGCTATATCTGCTGTGGGACCAAATCTACATAGATAACAATCTTTAAGTGATCAAGTCTGTGTATTATCCAAGATCTTTTTTTTTTTTTCAGAAAGATAACAAAAATATTAAATATGTATGAATTTGTTGATTATAAATATTTTTATCATTTTATTACTGTTTTATTTCAAATTTTCCACAGTTTCTAATGGTCAAACACTAAAGGAAAAGAAAATTTGCGTTTAAATGCAAGTATTGAATGACTGCTGTCTTCACTGTACAACTTATGTAAATGACCTGTCAGACATAGTGACCTGATAAAATAACTAGGACAGTTCAGCTATCTAGATCAGGCTTCAATGAGGTCAATTATTCAAGTAAAATAATGTTACTCAAAGGTTACGTTGACCTTACATTACTAGCATACTTATGTTGTTTTGTTCAAGCACACAATAATATCTTTAACGTTAAATTAAATTTTAAAATCAAAAATAATTTAAAATAGCGACTACCGGTAATACAGTTCTGCTATTTGAGATGCACAATGTGAAAACAACACGATACACAGTATTGAAAATTATTATACTCTTATAATGAAAAAAATTAATTTATTTTTCAGAAATCTTCTAATTTATGCAAATTAGGTAATCAATATGCATGGTTTTCAATCACAAACGAACCATTTCTATGGAATACCCCAGAGCATATATGTACAAAGTTTTATTGAAATCTAACTATAGTGGTACTTGAGATTTGTTGAACAACTACAAATTGGCTAATTTATTTAAATTAGGCAATTAATATGTACAGTTTATACTCTAAATGATGTTTCAAGTTTGCAATATTCGGTAAAATTACAGAATGGAAGATATCCTCACAAAAATGAATAAACTGTTAATAAGTATACATAGTATTGTAACCATAACTCAAACTCACCTCTCTAGGCTCTGCTAAAACCATGGATTCCTTCGGATCATAACCATGTAAGCGTATTTGCGATTCGACTGCATACTGAAAAAATAATCAACAACTCAATGTTGTAAATAGAATTGTTGGAATTGATTTGGACTGAATCATCACTGAGAAACATAAAGGCGCCTGTAGTCATAGCAATGCATTGTGTTTGATCGGGGTCTTATGCAACATAAGAAACACGCATGAATTAATTTTTGTACATGAAAATAAAATGCATGTTGCAAGACCCTTTAAAGATATTATCATTCAAGCAAATTTCATGCAATACAATAACTTTGGATCACACTCATTACAAAGCCTTAGAACGATATCGATTTCACCAAGCCCTGGGAAGACTTTAAAAATACTTTTTCTGTGAGCATCCATAAATCTAATATCAAATCATCAAAAAAACTTAAATTTGCTGGTTTACAAGTGTGCTAGTTTATCTGCAGACCTTCAGGTTCCCCCGAAAGTTGTAGCTATCAGTAAATGAATTCTGCCATGGCTTAAGTCTGAGACACTCAATCAGGACACAAATCAATACCTTGTTCAGCATTCCCAAATAAGATACAAACATGAGACCAACCAATCATATATTAGGTCCAGGATAACAAATATGCTACCAAGTGATTCCATGAAACCAAAAGTTGATATAAATACTTACATGATCAGATGGAAATGACTTCCCTTCTATCAGAATTTTATATCTATCTTTCGTTGGTCTATAAAACGATATCTAATAACAAAAACAGATATATACGACTGGTAAGTCAACAAACTATAAATGTTTACACGAATTTAAATTATTATCAAGAAATAAAAACACTATAAATTATTTAAACTTCATGAATTTAACATTCAGGGAAAATTATAAGCAGCGGAATCATGATCACCATGACTACCATGTAATTCTGCAATTGTCAAGCTAAGTGGTGGATGAAGTGGAAATGGGTTACAGTACTAGTAGTTTACTAATTTCAACTCTTTGAATTTGAAAATATAGTTACATGTTTGTTTTATGTATTCAAATTCCTTATAAATATACTCTCCCTTATTATGCTATCATCAACCTTTATAATATAGCTAATGTGGTGTTTATCTTATGAGATACGCAACTCTGGACTTTATGCCAATTCTAATCCTTGATCACACATTTGGGAATTGAACAGATGAAATCCGAAACATAAGTCCCAATTGCAGAATTCTTCTGATGGTACATACTTAAAAACTTACCAGCAACAAGTGTAAATTGACTGATAGGCCATTCATTGCTGCTACCTCCTCAGTCTTGGCCCCTGTACATATTGACAAAGCATATGTAATATGTATTAACAAAGAAGAAATTAAACACAATGATTGGAGTGGTGTTTATAATCAATAAATCCTATTTTGAATTTAGGTATCGCAAATACATAAAGTTTGATGGTCAAACAGTTAAAATACTACAGATACACATTTTCATCCATGCCTCAACAAATTGAGAATCATGGATGCATATTTTTGTATTAAAGTCATCCTTTGATATGATAGTGTATTTCAAGGGCTTGCAATAGTATAAAGGTAACAAGAGATGCAAAGTTTACTTACCGACCATCTTGGACAATTGTTCATGCACTACTTCATCAGCAAGAGCCCATGGAATCCGTCCATTAAAATGACCATGTACTGCACTGTATCATAGAAAATACAAAAAAAAAAAGCTTAGAAAGAACTCCTGTGTGCTGAGAGCATGGGCCTCATATGAAGTGGAAATAGGGATTATTTCAAATTAAATAAAAACTTCAGACTAGTCTTTTAAACAAGAAGCATGTCACGTCGTATCTGAAAGCTTATAAACATTAATCTAAATCAGAAATGAAATCGATGTGGTTCTCCAGATATCAGTGGAATAGATATTTACATACTGTAAAGGGGTTAATTATTCACTGGGTTTTAATTTTGCTTATTTCGCTAACTGGAAAATGCGCTAAAATAAAACCCAGTGAATATGTAGAATTGAGCATAGAACACATTATCTAAATGATAAAACCGTAAATTTAAAACCTACTGAATATGCCTGAAATGGTAAATCAGCGAAATTTAAACCCAGTGAAAATTAGCCATTTTACAGTACATGCTTTGCACACAAGAGTCAAAAATAGTTATTGTGCCCATAGGAAATTTGTTAAAGTTGTATTGTCAGAAATGTTTAAAACTTTTACATGTTAAAGTAATATGTGTACAGTAATAAATGTAATAAACAATAGTTCAGTATCTGAGAGTCTCCGAGATGAATTGCAAGTGAGATTCTCTGTATAACTCTGGAAGACGAACTTAGTCATACCATAATGCCCAATAGCAAATTTTTGTACAACTACAAGATCTCGCGAATTGTGTGAAAGACGTGTGCTGAACGTCTGTCGTAAAAATCGAACGATTTGATTTTGAACACGAATTTCTTAAATTTGTAGCTTACATCGAAAGGCCGATCTTTGACAGGGGAATATTCCGTTTGAATACCCTTACTTCATCAAAATTGACCATCATCAAATGTGTACAGCACAATATTAAGCATGAAAATATCCTCCAAAATACTTTCGCGTTTGTTGATTCTCACGCGATGTTCATCGTCACTTCGACAATATGACCTTTGTTTGTCTTGTTTTCACGTTCGATTTCATGCATAATGCGAGATCTCGCAGTGAGCGAAAAATGGTCTACCGGTATTAATACAGCCCCTACAGAAATCTGTAACTTGCCTTAAGGTGACTCAGTTAAGAAAATGAACTTCAATAATACAAAGTCATTTTTTGGATAGTTATTAGGTTTGTCTCCCTTTGGAATATATTTTACTTTTGACAATGATACATCTTTTTTCTATTTTTTTTTTAACTGACTGAGGTAGTTTTCCCCTTTTTACATACTTGTACTGGATTCCATTTTGATGTATTATTTTACATACTGTAAAATGACTAATATTCACTGGGTTTAAATTTCGCTGATTTACCATTTCAGGCATATTCAGTGGGTTTTAAATTCACGGTTTCGTCATTTAGATAATGTGTTCTATGCTAAATTTTACATATTCACTGTGGTTTAATTTAGCACATTTTTCCAGTCAGCAAAATAAGCTAAATTAAAACCCAGTGAATAATTACCCCCTTTACAGTACCATATGCTGTGTTTGCTCTATTAGAAGCACATTTTCAGTAGAAGTGCATATAAATTACAATTAGCTCTACCATGGTTCTATAAAATATGACTGTAATTTACATGAATGCTTGCACTACTAATAGAGCAAATACTGTACATGTATCATAACACCACATTTCTAATTGGGTAGTCTATGTTTTGGCAAGGGACGACAATAATTTCAGCATTCACACAAAATTTTTAGCTTTACTGCGGGAATTAAGTAACAAACCGTACGTTTTAGCCCATTTGTCCAGCTCATCATTGAGGTATTTTGCTACACCTTTCGGTTGCAATCCTAACGAGTTCCCACACAAATAAACGCTGTCAGACTCACCATCAACCAAGGAGGTATCAACTGGTGGAAGAAAAAGAGAGAGAAAAGGGGAAATGTATAATCTGTTCTACAAAATTGATACAATGTATATCATAATCTCTGAATTCACTTCCGGGGTCATTAGTCCGAAACTAAAATTAAACAAAGCTGAATACAAAGTTTTTGTCACTTCATTTTCACATCCTGGAATAAGCTACATTTGATATCCATGTAGAGTAGATAATAGACGAAGGAAAACTAATTAAATTTAATGTGAGTTTCACATCTCTATCTTTCCCTTTTCAATGTCAGTTCATACAGCATACATGTATGCATGCAATCATTTCAAAATATGTTACAAATTAAAAATGCTTATGCAAATCTTATACTGTAGAATACTTTATTTTTGCTTGGAATAAATTTTCGCTGAAGGAATGATTCAGTGAAAATAAAATCAAGCGAATATAGTTTTTTTCCTATAATTGAAATTAAATAAAAATCAGTGAAAATAAATTCCAGACAAAATATCCAAAAAGTCCTTTCAGCGAAAAATAATTCCAGCTAAAATAAAGTATTTTACAGTACATGTAGTTATGTACCAGCAAAACAAAATTCATGCATGAAAGCCTAAAATCCAGTTTTACAAACCCTGATGGAGGGAGGCCCATCTACAGGAGTTACATGTGCATATAAAATATAGGCAATCAGACTAAATAGGCCACTTTCGAGAGAAAATCAAACCAAAATATTCACAATTATACATGTATAAACAAGATACCTAAAAAGTAATAAAGCAATATTGTTTCTGGGAATTTATTCACTTGTTCACGAAATGGAGCACAGTACATACATGTATGGTACTTCAGTGTACGGATGGGGAAAATATTTGTTACTCTAAATTATGATATAGTACAGTACATGGAGAGTGATGTAACTATGTTACCTGTAGGTATCTCCTTCATTTTAGGGTAGAAATATTCCAGTCTAAATCGCCTCAATGCATCATTCTCATCCATGTGTGTGGCAAATTGTAAGTCAGTGATGCTGCATCCATATTCTTGAGCTTTCGCCAGCAAGGTTTTGTGGGGATGGGCCTCATTGGTGCAGCATGGTTCAGCAATGGTGGCCATGTTGGGATCACAATCTGAGAAGAGAAATTTATAATCATGCTGATTTCTGTTGCTTCATATATATGTATGTACACATATTGGCTCCGCTAGGATTGCCCTTAAAATCACTTTTGTGTGTGCGAGTGTTTGTGTGTGATTTTCAGTGTTTTCAGTATTACAATGTATCAACATAATCATAACGCAACTTTGAATGAACTGTAAATGTTGCATTAAATCAAAGAATTTAGAAAATACAATCGCAAAATGATTTGGAATAATAATTATAACAGCAGAATACATGCTAGTAACAAAGTGAAGTCACTTCAGGAAGACTGAATGCTTTTTGCGAGTTTTGTATATGGGGCCCGGTTGTACCGGTAGTTATAAACCGACGTTACCTTCATGTTCATGTCCTACCATGGCAACAGCCAAAAACATGTTGTTTGTTTTTTGAGCGGTACGGATTGCCAACCATCCTAAATATGTACCAGCACATGTTCAAATCCTCTTTTGGAATGCAAATTTTATAAAAAGGGAATAAACATAGAATTTCATTTTTTCATTTAGTTCAAATAAGGAATCTATAAATCTATTGTCAATTGATGACTGTATTGTGGGTAATGTTTTGAACCTGACGTTTTGGTCAATTTTGTTTTTTTGGAGATTTCAAGTTCTCGAATGCAAATTATATAGAGAAAAAAGGGATTAAAAATAAAATTTCATTTCATCATGACATTAAAAGTGGGAACTATTAAATCTATTGTCACTTAGGGAGGCAATCAAAATCAAACCAGCAGTTTCCGGCCCGTTAACAGGGGAGCTCCGAGCAATATGCAAATTTATGCAAGAATATTCATGAGCTGACAATTCAGTGCGGCACCTCCCATTTGCAAACAGACTGGAACAAATTGAAAACTCATTGTTTAACTCCAAAACAACATTAATTGCTGTATAAAAAAAAAAAAAGAAAAAAAAAATCATGAACACACATGCCATTGTACATTTTTAAAATACATCATAGTATAACAGTTTTTGCAGACCCAAAACTTAGCGTCGTGTAAATAACGTGTTTGCTTATTTATCAAAGCGTTGATTTCACAAAATTGCTGACCGTAAATGTTTTCTGTGTCATGTTGCTTTGCCACTGTAAAGACAGGATGACTTGCTTTACAACTAACACTGTTTTTTTAATGTAAACAATGATAACAAAAAAATTATAGTGGATCAGACTGAAATAAAATAACAAAACAGAACTATGCGTCCATGCAAAATCTGGGTGAGAAATACATGTCAGCGATTTTCTCTAATAAATTCATGTAATAATAATGTCTCCATGAACGCATTTGCATAGATTTCATTTGCATAGATTATGGGCCGTAAATATTTGCTTTGTTGACGTAAAATTATCAGAAGACTTGGTGTAAGTAAAACTACATCAGTAATCGGTATTAAAGGAGAACTTGGCAGAACGCCAATAAGAATAAAGGCGTCAACATTGGCAACTAAATATTGGTTCAGGCTAAATACCCTACCTGATAACCATATACTTAAATGTGCTCTCGATGAAGCAGTTAAGAATAATTCTAGTTGGATAAAACATATTG